CCCCCCCCCCCTCTCTTTCTTATTTCTTTGTCCTTCTTCATCGTTTTGTTCTTTCTTCTTTCTTCCTTCCTCCTCCTGTTTCTTCTTTTTCTCTCTTTTTACATTTTATTCACTTTCATCATCTTCTTCCATCACCATTTTCCCCGGAAAATTTGCCGGAAGCTCACCGGAGTATAAGAGGGCGCCTGGTTTTTTGTTTGTATGGTCTTAAATAATGATAAGTATTCTTTGGAATGAAAGATGAAACGAAAAAACTAGTAAAATTCTATGAACATTTGCCATAGAGAAAAAATGTGTGTACACCAACACTAGTTTGCTTTCAGTGTCTATGTACACACACACAACGAAATGTTAAAAAAAATCAGGGTTAAATTGCACCGAAACAAATATATGTGTACACAAACAAAAATTGTATATGTATAGAAACTTTTTTTTCTACACACACAACTAATGTCTGTGTACACCGACATTGGTTTCCGTGCAACCACCCTGACTGATCTGCAAACTAATTTTTTCACACCGACATTTTTTGTCTACATAGACAACTAATGTTTGTGTCGGAATCCAATTTTGTACAACCAGCCTGACAAATCAGTAAATTAATTTTTTTCACACTGACAATTTTATCGAAAGTGTCTGTATTTATATCTTTTTTGTCTGCGCGAATGGCATACAAAGAGGGTTTACCCCAGGGTGTACACCAAGAATTGTTGAACCAAGAGGTGCCATACTCCCAATTTGGCATCCTCAAATCAGTGGGATGCTGTAAATTAAGGGATGAAAATCCTAATATTGGTTTTTGACTCTCTTGGTTGTATTCTATTCCAACCACCTACCTTATTCTTTAGTAGGCTACTAAGTGCAACTTTCGTTGTCAAATCTAGAGGCCATTTGGCTACTCACTTTTTTGGCTTTTCAGGTTTCTCAGCCAACTTTTTCACCAAACACGTAATTTTTGCTTTCGTGCGATAAATTGTGAAATAAGCAGAAAAAGTAAGGTTGGAGTTACTTTTTTGGCTATATTGGCTGAAGTTACTGTATATGATCATTTTAACTATTTTTACATATAAATTTTTCTTTACTTTATTAATAATATATATTTTAAAAATAATTTTTTCTTAAATCAGCAGAACCAGCTTATGCAGCCACTTCAGCTAGAAATTCATAAATTTCAGCAAAATCAGCCAAATCAGCCGATTTTCGTGCTACCAAACGGACTCCTAATTTCTCACCAATTTATTCGTATTTACTCTGTCAATTTAGTTTTTTCTACAATCCAACACCGTTAATATATTCACTCAGCAAATTTTATTTAATTGCATCATTGCTTTTATTTTTATACATCAATTTTTTCCATTCTTTTTTCTATAAATAATTATGATTTAAAATATCAAACATTCCGATGTAAAATAAATCAATTTGGAGTTTAATTTTTTATTTCTACTTCTGACCTATTTTTTAACAAGATAAGTGAAAAATGTAAATAAATATTTTAACCATTGAATCTTAATATTAGCATTTGGATCTCTAAGATTTTGGGCCTAAAAATCTCAAACAAATAAGACTTCATACACTGTATTTTTATTTTGTAGAAGCCATATTATTGTCATATGAAGATAATTAAAAATTGGATTAAAAATAGAAAAGTCAAATGAATTTCAAAAAAAGTTGGGATATTTATATTCATGGGTCATGCTTGTGGAACGTGCTGCACACACAAAGGAGGTTGCTTTGGTTGCTCACATTTCTCAGTGAATAAAGATATCAATTTGAAATTTTTTTATGTACATCTTGGTACACCATATATACCTCTCCCACATCCATTTCTTATTTTCTTCCTCTTCACTTTTTTCTCTCCCCTCCCCACCCTCTTCTCTCCACTTCTCTTCATTTTGCACCATAAGAACCCCCACCCCCTTCTCTTTCTTCTTTCTTTATCCTCCTTCTTCATCATCTTGTTCCTTCTTCTTTGTTTCTTTCTTTCTCCTTCTTCTCCTTCTTCTTCTTTCCTTCTCTCTTTTTCTTTCTTTTTACATTTTATTCACCTTCATCATCATCTTCCATCACCATTTTCCCAGTAAAATTTGTCGGAAACTCACCGGAGTATAAGAGGCGCCTGGATTTTTGTTTGTATGGTCCTAAATAATGATAATATTGTTTGGAATGAAGGATGAAACGAAAAAACTAGTAACATTCTATGAACTTTCGCCATAGGCAAAGAATGTGTGCACCAACATTAGTTTGCTTTCAGTGTCTGTACACAGACGAAAATTGTATATGTACAGACACTTTTTTCTATACATACAACTAATGTCAGTATATACCGACATTGGTTTCTGTGCAACCACCCAGACAGATCTGCAAACTAATTTTTTTCACATCGACACTTTTTTGTCTTCACGAATAACTAATGTCTGTGTACACCGACATTGGTTTCCGTGCAACCAGCCTGACAAATCAGCAAACAATTTTTTTCACGCCGACAGTTTTATCGAAAGTGTCTGTATTTGCACTTTTTTGTATGTGGAATAGTATATAAAGATGGTGTAAGTGTGTAACTCGGGTGTACACCAAGAATTATCGAACCAATTTCCACTCCATGGGATGCCATACTCCCAATTTGGCATTCTGAAATACGTTGGTTGCAGTAAATTAAAGGATGAAAATCCAAAAAATGGTTTTTGTCTCTCTCGGTTGTTGTCGGTATTAGTATATAGTACCCCGTGATCAAAGCACATTAAGGGAGTGTATGCAAAGTTTTTTCCTTTAAAAAAACTTTTTAAAATGATTTTAGAGAAAATGATTAATAATAAAAGTTGCTCTTGTTTGAAAAAATTGATTTATCGTAATCTTGTTTAACACACATTAGACCAAATAACTAATAACAATGAGTTTTTTGTGTAATAAAAAAAATAAAAAAGAAGATTTTAGTTTTAGCTTTTAAGTGTTTAATTTAAGGAGAAGTTGTCACATAAAAGCACTATTTTAGGCTTTTTAAGCAAAAGTTGAAAATCACTTTTTTATAATTTTTGAAAATACACCCTAAAAATAATTTGTTAATTACGGAGTAAATTTTATATACTTGAGCTAAAACATGATGCTCAAACTCGAGCTCGAAACAAATTTCTATCTTCAAAATTATTCATAATAAATCTATGCATGCAAATGAATAAATAATATTATATATATATATATTATCGTTCCCATTTTATTAATTACCCTCTTCTTCACCTGCATTTTTTCTCATTAATTTAATATCAATTAATTTTTGAAATATATAAATTAATAAATGTAATGACTGTATATGTAAAATCTCTATCTCTACAATATTATATATGTAAAATCTCTATCTCTACAATATTATAAGCGTGAATATTGTGACGAGTTAATTGGTGATAAAAATGTTGGTGTCTCGGCGCATAATCTTCTGTACTTTATATTTACATTATTGTACATCATTAACCTGCTCACAACTTCCATTACTAACAGAAGTGATTTCAACGTTATGTCCGTACAGAGGAAAGTCCTCATCTTTTTTAATTATCTCTACTCATGGGCGGACCGTAGTACAGACCCAGGGGGCTACCGCCCCCGCAACAAAAAAAAATTAAGGTATATACTACGAAAAATAATATTCGTCCGCTCAAAAAATAATTTTCGCCCCCTGAAAAATATTTTGAACCCCCCCAAGATGGATTTCCTGAGTCCGCCCCTGTCTCTACTATATTTCATTTATTTCATTGAAACCCCTTACCCTTTCATTTCCTCTCTTCCGTTTCATCCGCTCAACATTCTTGGCTCTATAGTAACGGCTTCTGAACATCAGTTTAGTTACTCAAAGATCCTCAATTGTCGATTATGAATAATTTGTCGCATCTGCTCAACAAATTTTCCATTTCTTCCCTATCCTACTCTTGTAAGATTTTCCTCTATTCAACCAACTTGCATTGTATAGTTACTTTATTATTACTGTTCTCTGCGACTCAATTTCAATCCACTTGTTTATTTACTTGCGCATTCATATAATTCATTCCCTGTTCATGAAGATTTTTTTGGGGTTTTCATATATTCCATTCTACCGCCTCCCAAATCCCTTTGCAGTTGTACTCTACGGGCTCCCATATCTGTTTATTAGAGGAGTTTTGGTGGCTTGAGCTGATGATTCCATCTTCCAATTGTGCAGTTTCCCTTTATATTTGTGTCATATATGTGATTGTTTAAGTGTCCAAATGAAATCAAGTAATTTTTTGCTATCCAACCTCTGTTTACTACCTTGGTTTATTTCAGCTTTTACAATATTGTTCACATTTTTTAAAATACAGTAATTTACAACATAAAATTTCATTAGGAAAGTCAATTGACAATGTATATATATGTAATATAACTCAAGAAGAGGTTTGGGGTCATTTAGCCATAAATGATCATAAAATCCAAGTGCTCAGTTAGCCAAACTTGAGCTTCATGAATTTCTTTTATCCTACAAAAGCCTATAACTTCATGAAACCTCCCTTATGAGATTCTATATTATTCTGGTTTACTAATTACTTGTTGTGTGTTGGAATATTAGGATCAGGACCAGTAATTCAGCCCAAAATATCCCTGAGGCCTAAAGAAATAGCAGAGCCAACAAATGATAGGCAGAACAGTAGACCCCGAGCGGGCTCTTACCAACTAGATATTTCCGGTTCGATTATTACCGAACGGGTTGAATATAATATTTGACAAATAAGGAGCATCATTCATGGCTGCTGATTAGATTAGCCCAAAGAGTTGATCAAGAAGTCTTGAAAGTGGCAAGGGAGGCATTTAATGCTGGAGTATGGGTGCACAACTGGAAGAATGGGTGCTAAGTGGCAGAGGGGTCATCCACTCAGGGTTGGCCACATGATCCAACCCACCTACCCATTTTCCCGTATAAATAGTAGCCAAACGGCTAAGTCCAAATGCCCCTGAGATATCGAACAAGGAAGTGTGCCGTTTGGGGTAAATAGTCAAGTCATGCGGACCTTTCAAGACCGAGCAGAGGATGAATTGCGTAGGAATAAAAGGCATTGTATAAAGGGAAGGATAAGCTAAAAAGTCACCTTTACACCTCAGCACTACTGGCCGGGATTTAGGATTGGTTTGCAACTACTTTTAAAAAAGCACTTCTCAACTTTTGGCTTTAAAAAAGCACTTATTTTCCCAAACACTACAACTTTTATTTTTCTCGGCTTCCACGTCAAAAGTGCTTTTACTTTTTCTATTACACAAAAAGCACTTATTTTACCAAACACTACCCACTTTTACTTTTCAAAATCACTTTTTTCTCAAACACTATCAACTTTTATTTAATCACTTCTCCCCATTTCATTTAAAAAAGCACTTTTTTAAAAGCAGAAGCTGTTGCAAACAGACCCTTACAAGTATGCTTCCATACAGTAAAAATGACTTTGTAATTACAAAGGGGAAAACCCCACAACAGCCTAATTCTACTTATCAGCATCCTCCTCCTCGGCATCGTTGTCATCTTCATCTTCTGAAGATATCACGTGCTTAACCCTTCCATCTACAAAAGATGTACATCACGTTAACAGATTAGAAGAGTTAGCATCCTTACCAGGCAAAGAATATATCCGGCATATGCATTTTTTTTATTAAAGAGGCATCTTGAGGAGGGGTTTGAGGGCATCTTGGGGAGCGGGTTTGGAGGGACCTAAAGTAAACTGGGCTGAAACTCACTCACTCCATTGAGTTTCGAACCCGAGACCTCCCATAAGGGAGAGTGAGTCCGCGACCAGCTGAGCTGGACCGCTTCCTCCCAGCATATGCATATATGTTTTGCAGTAATTTACAAGGCTTTCAACAAAAACAGTGTCCAGAAACTAGTGTGCATATATCTGATAATGTGCATTAAAGTAAATTGGAATTCAAAATCATTGTTTAATACTTCACGAATGCATGTGACAGAGTCTAACAGACCTTTTTGTTTGGTGAAGACGAATTGGCAATATATTTAAAAACACTTACGTCGCAGTCACATTACATGAAGCACAAGTAACTTTTTAAACTCAAAGTTGCGTTTGTGAACCCAAAGTTGCATAATTTCTCAAAGCCACAATTATGTGCTATCAACTACAATCCACATGCTAATTATGGCTGGTCTAATAAAGAAGCACATAAGCAGGTATATGTCTATCAAAAAACTAAACATCTGTTCAACTAGCATATGCTTGTTACTATGTTTGGCGGGTGAGACAGAAGACGGTAAAGTATTTACCTGTCCAGGTGCCAACCTAACAAGCCTCACGAAATGATCACGCCCATTGAGGTGGTGAAAAGCTCTGGCTTGATATAGATTAACCTTTGCAGTACATGTGTCTCTAGCTCTGAATGTTATGTAATATACAAAGCCAGAACCATATCCAAGGTTTGCCTTCTCAATAGCCTCAAGTTTCAGATTTGCATCCTGTAAGTATTAAAAGAAACATTAAAGAAACTATGCTGGAAGCTGACAAGATAGATAAAATACTGTTGAAGAAACAATGTACATACGTTTTCAGCATTGTATTTGTCAATAGCCATGTTGGTGCAATTCACCAATCTGCGGGAAGGCCCTCCCTTCAGGTTAAGAGGCACAATTACGCCAGGAACCCCCCCTCTGGGGTTCACTGTGATGTCGCCAAAACCCTAACAAGCAAAGCCAAAACTGTTAATTTCCGTAAAGAGTGAAACAAAACGTAAACGGTTAAGGTGAAGATGCCATTACATCTGTTTCCATGATAATTTTGTTGTACTTCTTCACTTGCTTCCATTGTTTGATACTTTTATAGTCACTAGGGCTTCCTGCATATTCATCATCACTATCATGGGTGGCGGTACTGTCATCAGATGTTACGTCATCATCGATCTCCATTCGTACATCGCTATCACTGGACACCTCACCTTGTACGTCATAGTCGTCGCCCATAGAGCTTTCATCCGCACTCATATCCTCTTCTTCCACTCTCCCAATGGTTCTGTTGCTGCTTCCATCGCTCAATTTGTCCTCCCCGGATTCTGGATTTAACATCTCCCCTACTCTGCCGTCCCTGCTTCCATCCCTCAGTTTTTCCTCCCCAGCTTCTGGATTTGATATCTGGCTCACGGTGCTGTGGTTGCTCCCATGACTCAGTTTCCCCCCCGCAGATTCTGGATCTGACACATGGCTTACGGAGACGTTGCTGCTTCCATGGCCCTGTATTTCCTCCCAATATTTGGGACTCTCTTCCGCGGTTTTCTGATCCCCACAATGTAAGGGAAAGGTGTTAGAGATGGGTGGGACGTTCTTCTTGAGCCTTTTCAAAGGAGATTCACAGCGGCCCGGAGTTGGATCATCGACGGGGTTCTCCATGCGGACTAATTTTTAAGGAAAACTAAGGTTGTTTCGACAATTTAGAGATTAGGGATTTGATGGGAAGAGGGTTCGATATATAGGCGGTCCGCTCCAACCAGTCCTCCACTCCTCCGTACGTAGTAATTGTGTGACTAATAATTTTGGAGATTTCAACAAGTAGGACTACTTAAACATAGTAATTTTCTAGAATCAATTACCTAAATAGGACTAAAAAGTGGCAAAATTGCACAAATAGAACTACAGTTTTTAAATTCCCTTAATAGGACTATTTATGTGTGTTTGGCCAAATATACATTTGTAACTTGTGAAATGTTTTAATTAATAATAAAATCATACAAAAATAATAAAAATTGAAAAAAATACTAAAAATCGTAAAAAGATAATAGAAAATTAATAAAAATATTTTTTAAAAATATTAAAAAACAATATTTTAAAAAAAATCGTAAAATTAAAAAAAAAACATTACCACCCCTGCCACCCCCAGCACCACCAGCTCCCATCACCGGAGAAAAATATGCCAAAATTTTAAATAATGCCATCTTTCAATGAAAATGTTGGCATATTGAAGAGTAATTATGTCATCTTTTTGGCATTTTCAGAAAAAGATGACATTTTTTTACCAAAAGTGGAAGAAATTTCACCAATCGGAGGTGGTGGTGCTGGGAGGCGGCGGATGGCGGTGGGAAATTTATCCATAATTTTTTTCATTTTTTATGGGTTTTTACTATTTTTTATTATTTTTTAAAAAAAATTTAAAAAAATAAAAATTAAATTTTTTATTTTATAAATGTTTTATAAATTTTTTATAATTTTTTTACGTTTTTTAAACATTTTTTACGTTTTTTTATGATTTTATTATGAATTAAAGCATTTCATTATGAATTAATACTCTTAGGGGTATTTATGGTAGAAAATCTATGTTTAGTCCTATTTAGGGAATTTAAAAAGTAGTAGTCCTATTTGTGCTTTTTAGGAACTCATTAGTCCTATTTAGGACAATTTCCGAATTTTCTAAAATTAAGACTTGTAGTTAGCGTAAGACTCAAATAAGCGTATTTTGACCATAATACCCTTAATTTTAAATTGTATAGCAGATTAGCGTTTCAAGGCACAATTTCAAGCGATCGCGGAAGACGACGCCTTTTACTGGAAGGCGAACGAACAGATCTACCTCGGAAAAATCATCGACGTCATTGAGACCGTCGTTGTAAGATTGAGTTGTATCCAATGCTTCGAAAACTGGTTGTATTCAAGGGTTCCAACCTTGTACCGGGTTAACCATACGCCAAGTTGGGTATACTTGAATCCTTGTGTCTGTTGCGCGTTATTTCCCAATGCCTTCGGCACCTGCGTGCTTCATAGACGATTATAGCTAAACGATTGTGTGCATGAATGTTTGGATGATGACAAGGAAAACAACCCCCAACCAACCTTCTATTTGCCCAATATGCATCAATTGCAGGTATGCGCCGTTAGGATTTATGCATATTCAATTTCCACTGATTCGTTTCATGCTACTAAAGTTAATTATGTCATATCCTTGGTTTATTGCCTTTTACCATCAAGTTTCTGTTAATCTAATTTCATCTATTGCAGATTCAATAGTATGTGTTAATCCAAGGAGTCTTGTCTTCATCAACAAGCTTTAATTGCTCACCAGGTTCAGAAGAAGCCCAAACACCAATCAATTTGACATCCAGTGAAGTAGTGAATTAGAAATCAATAGTAGGAAATAAGAAGAAATTAAAAGTCAAGGAAATAGGAAAAATTATTGGAAAAAGACTAAAAAGGAGTACATTTATTATTACCAATTTATTTGTATTCATTTGATCAATTCAGTTTTTTCTATAACTCGCACTGTTAATATATTCAGTCAACAAAGTTTTATTGAATTGCATCCTTGCTTTTATTATTATACATCAATTTTTTTTTTCATTCTTTTTTTATAAATAATTATGATTTAAAATATCAAACATTCCGATGTAAAAGTAAATCAATTTGGAGTTTGATTTTTTTATTTCTACTTTTGACCTATTTTTGAAAAAGATAAGTGAAAATGTAAATAAATATTTTAACCATTGGTCTTAATATTAGCATTTGGATTTTCAAAATTTTGGGTCTAAAAATCTCAAACAGATTAAACTTCATACATAGTATTTATCTATTTTGTATAAGACATATTATTGTAAGGTCTTATTTTCTCCCATTTCTTATTTTCTCCCTCTCCAGCTTTTTCTCTCCCATCCCTCCCTACTCTCTTCTCTCCCCTTCTCTTTCTTTTGCACCATACGAACCCCCCCCCCCCCCCCCCCCTCCTCCTCCTCCTTGTACATAAATGACCAGCACGTTGCACATTAATATGTCGAAAACTGTCCATTTAAAGCGCACATTAAAGTAGAAGAACGTTGGACATTAATTGTTGTAACGCGCTAGAACCGTTCAGGTGCGCAACCAGAACATCAGGTCAACTATGCAAGCAAGTCGCGGTTTTTCTTCTTCATTTTCGGGATTTGATTTGCAGCCCCCTGCGCGCAAAGAGAGTCTTTCCCCTTAGGAATCTTAACTCTTTCAAAGAGGCTTCCCTTTATGATGGGTTCACAATCCCTTGGGTTTTCTTGTAATATTTTCCTCTATTCAACCAACTTGCATTGTATGGTTACTATATTATTACTGTTCTCCGCAATTCTGTTTCAATGCACTTGTTTATTTTTTGTGCATTCGTATAATTCATTCCCTAATCATGAAGATTTTTTGGGGTTTTCGTATATCCAATTCCACCGCCTCCCAAATCCCTTTGCGGTTGTACTCTACGGGCTCCCATAACTATTTATGGGCGGAGTTTGGGCGGCTTGACTTGATTATTCCATCTTCCAATTGTGTAGTTTCCCCTTTATATTTGTGTCATTTATGTGTTTGTTCAAGTTTCCAAATCAAATCAACTGATTTTTTGCTATCCAATCTCTATTTACACCTACCTTTGTTTATTTCAACTTTTACAATATTGTTCGCATTTTTTTATAATACAATCATTTACAACATAAAATTTCATTAGGAAAGTCATTTGACAATGTATATATAAGTAATACGTGGTATAATTCAAGTAGAGAGAAGAGGTTTGGGATCATTTAGCAATAAATGGTCATAAAATCCAAGTGCTCAATTAGGATGTTTCCATTTGGACTGAAATCTGTTGATCTAATCTGGCCTGATATGTTCTGGTAAACGTCTGATCTCTGTGTATTTTATAACTACGGAAGTCTGGTATGATCTGGTCTGGTCTGATCTGATCTAGGACTGAAAACAGTCCAAAATAAAACATCTTTAGCCAAACTTGAGCTTCATGAATTTCTTTTATCCTACAAAAGCGTATAACTTCATGAAACATCCCTTATGGATGAATGGCAATATTTAGATTCCATATTATTCTGATTTGATAATTACTTGTTGTGTGTGTTGGGATATTAGGATCTAGACCAATAATTCAGCCCAAAATATCCTTGAGGCCCAAAGAAATAGCAGAGCCCAACAAATGCTAGGCAGAATAGTAGACTCCCGAACAGGCTCTTGCCAACTGGATATTTCCCGTTCGATTATCACAGAACGAGTTGAATATAATATTTAACAAATAAGGAGCGTCATTCATGGCTGCTGATTAGATTAGCCCAACAAGTTGATCGGGAAGCGTTGCAAGTGGCAAGGGCACATTTAATGTTGGAGTATGGGTGAACAATTGGAAGTATGGGTGCTCAAGCTGCAAAGGGGTCATCCACTCAGGGTTGGTCACGTCATCCAACCCACCTACCCATTTCCAATATAAATAGTAGCAAAACGGCCAAGTCCAAATGTCCTTGTAGATATCGAACAAGGAAGTGTTTGCCGTTTGGGGCAAATAGTTAAGCCATACGGACCTTTCAAGACCAGACAGGGGATGAATTGCATAGGAATAATAAAGTCAAGAGCAGAGGAATAAAAGGCATTGTGTAAAGGCACTACTGGCCCGGTTTTACAAGCATGCTTCCATACAGTAAAAATGACTTTGTAATTACAAAGGGGAAAACCCCACAACAGCCTAATTCTACTTATCAGCATCCTCCTCCTCGGCATCGTTCTCGTCTTCATCTTCCGAAGATATCACGTGCTTAACCCTTCCATCTGCAAAAGATGTGTCAGGTTAACAGATCAGAAGAGTTAGCATCAGAGTTAGCATCCTTACCAGGCAAAGAATATATCCAGCATATATGTTTTCTAGTAATTACAAGACTTTCAACAAAAACAGTGTCCAGAAACTAGTGTGCATATATCTGATAATGTGCATTCAAGTAAATTGGAATTCAAAATCATTTTTTTCTGCTTCTGTAATCCAACTTCAAACTTAGCCAGAGGGCACTTCACAAATGCATGTGACAGTCTAACAATCATTTTTTACTGCTTCTGTAATCCAACTTCAAACTTAGCCTGAGGGTACTTCTCGAATGCATGTGACAGGCTAACAGACCTTTTTGTTTGGTGAAGACGAATTGGAAATATATTTAAAAACACTTACGTCCCAGTCACATTACATGAAGCACAAGTAGTTTTTTAAACTCAAAGAGTCAAAGTTGCATTTTTAAACCCAAAGTTGCATAATTTAGAGATTAGGGATTTGATGGGAAGAGAGGTTCGATTATATAGGTGGTCCGCTCCAACCAGTCCTCCACTCCTCCGTACGTAGCTATTGATAATGAAGCACATGTTGATGATATTAGGAGAATCTAAAGGGAATATAAAAACCACACGTCTTGTTGGAATGACGAGGCCAAACAAACAATGAGGACCAAAAGGGAATGTTATAAGAAATTGGGCAAAAGTTGGAGCGACGAGAACATAGAGGAGTACAAGGAGGATAGAAGAAAAGTATAGAAGGTTGTGACGGAAGTCAGAGGAAAAGTGATCAAGGAATTGTATGTAAAATTGGACTCTAAGGATGGAGAAAAAGATAGCTACAGACTTGCTCGCCTTTCGTGACCGTAACACTCAAGATATAGGAAAAGTTAAATGTGTAAAGGATGTTGATCAAAGGGTACTAATGGAGGACGAGGAAATAAAAGAGAGGTGAAAGTCATACATTGATACCTTGTTCAACGGAAATAAAGTGTACGGTATTGATGATCTTACTATACCAGAGTGTATGGTAAATTAGGACTTTGTGAGAAGGATTCAAACAATAGACGTTAAAGAGGCTACAAGAAAAATGGGGTAGAAAAAAGCAGTGGGCCCAGATGACATAGCGATCGAGGCTTAGAGAAGTTTGGGAGAGGAAGACATTGAGTGGCTAACACGTTTCTTCAACATGATTTGGAGAAACAACAAAATGCAGTGAGTTGGCGAAAGAGTACTCTCATTCCCCTATTTAAATATAAGGGTGATGTACAAGAATGTGTCAACTATCGAGGAAATAAGCTTATGAGTCACACCATGAAACTTTGGGAGCGAGTGGTTGAGCAAAAGACTTCGAAAAAGCTTGTCGAGAACTAGTTTGGTTTTATGCCAGGACGCTCAACAACTAAGGCCAACCACCTTCTTAAAAATATTATGGAGAAGTATAGAGACACTAAAAATGATTTCCATTTGGTGTTCATTGACTTACAAAAGGCATATGATAGGGTACCTCGAGAAGTCCTTTGGTGGGACTTAACTAGAAAAGGTATATCACGCAAATATAACAGTATCATCATCGATGTGTATGAGCCTTGTACTACAAGTGTCTGCACCAAGGATCTGGTCCGAGCCCTTTCTTGTTTGCTATAGTCATGGATGAACTCACTCAATGCCTCTCTATTAGGGTAGGACCGGTTCCGGGCCAGTCCAAATCGGGCTTTTTTTTGGGAGGAAGGCCAGGAACCGGCCCGGGATGCCACCAGGTCCGAGCTAGTCTCGGGACGGGCCGGTTCAATTTTTTTTTTGTGCTTTTCTAATTAACCCCCGACCCCCCCCCCCCCCCAGCCCTGACTCCCCCCCCCCCCCCAAACACTAAGCCCAACCCGGGAAAAACAAAAAAAATGACCAGAACCAGACACGGCCCAACCGGTTCCTATTTTACAAGACCCGGGCCCGCTCTAGGTAACACCCGGGTCGGGTCGGCCCGGACCGGTCCAGGACCCGGGCTCCGGGCCGGTTCAAAACCGTACCGGGCCGGGCCGGTTCAAAACCCTATCGGGCCGAGCCGGTTCACGGGCCGGTCAGCCCGGTTGTGGTCCATCCCTACTTTCTTGTGAAAATTGTCGAAGGAGATATTCAAACGAATAATTTTTTTTGACAATTCTCTCTAACCTATTATAGTATCTGATCTATGTTGATGCCAACATCCTTGAACTGGGATGGGATTCGAACATGTGACCTCCTCTTTAGGAGTTTCACAGTGATGCCATCAGACCACAAGGTACCAATATCTTTAATCTTTAGAATTAAGAAAAACAAGAGTAAGGACATGAACAAGAAGATGTAGCTAATCTCAAGCATTTTTTAAAAAATCCGAGACCTAAAATTTGAAGGGATCTCGTTATATTAAAAATTTAAAATTATTACCGAGCAATGCTTGGTGGCTTGGTGCACACATATTTTGTACATATATGGTATCATGGTGTACACTTTTGTTGATGTCTAACTACAAGGCAACATTTAAACGAATTACATGTGGAGACAAACAACTCGGGGTGTAGACTAAGGATAGATCGGGACGAGTCGGCCCGACCGCCCGACCCGAGACCCGGCCTAGTATTGTGCAGGCACAACCCAGCTCGGTACGCAAGTAATAGGACCAAGACCGGGGCCAGAATCGCGGGAGATGGGGCAGGCTACGGGCTGACGAAATGGTGGATCAGCTTAGCCGATTCGAGATCGATTTGGGCCCAATTTAATTTTTAAAATTTCCCCCCATTGATTGGCTGCTAGGTTGGTGGGGCTAGTAGTTTTGGGGGGGTTGGAGTTGGGGTAGGAATAAATTCAAAAAGACAAATTTAAAAAAAAAAAAAAAATTAACCCGACTCTGCCTGGTCCCGGTACAAACTAGTCATGGAGCCGGTTCGGGCCGCCAGGGCCGGGACCGGCCCGGCCCGCTACTTTGCAAGCCCGGAACCGGCCCGGTTCTCGGGTCCGGGTCGGGCCTAGGCCCGGTGGGGGGGCGGGTCCGGGCTCGGGCCTTGTATTTGGCGAACCGGCCCGGCCGGGTCGGGCCCGGGTCCGGGCCTAATTGATTTTTTTTTTCACTTTTTGGGGTTCCACCCGGGTTGGGCTTGATGATTAGGAGGGGTTTTGGGGGGGTGGGGGAGGTGAGGAAAGCAACAAAAAAAAAAAAAAAGTTAACCAAACCGGAGGCCCGGCCCGGCCCGGACCCGGTGGCTACCCGGGCCGGTCCCGGGCCTTCCTTCCCAAAAAAAAAAGCCCGACCGGGCCCGGCCCGGGTACATGACTAGTACAAACCCAGGCAGTTGCCGGGCCTCCAACCCAAGTTTTTAGTCCTGCCCAATCCCGGGCCCGGTCCAACCCTAGTACTGTAGACCATATATACAAAAAGTATGTACAGGTTCACTTATTAATTATTATCAATCTTTTATATATGTACACACACCATGCACACGCAATTGATGAAAAATGTAGTTTCATTGCATGCAGTTCATATATATGTAAACACCTTGCAAACTCTGATAGATCAAAATATCAATCAAACTGTTAGGATTTCAAGCAATCAAAATCAGCAGCAAAACACTGTAGTCAACTAGGAGGGTGGATGATTTAAATAAAATGAAAGTTGACCTTTCTTTTAGCGATTACAACAATGCAATTTCATAGGCGGCAGGGAGCCATTACAAACTGACAAACACATAAATAATAGGTAGCCTGCTAATACTATGTAAAATGAAACTGCTATGCAAAAAAGACATACAGCAAGCATTTAAATGCACAACACAAAGAGATACTCCTTAACCAATGTAATAAATAATACAACAGTGTGTCCTGGGCACGAACATATCACGTGCTTAACCCTTCCATCTGCAAAAGATGTACATCGCGTCAACAGATCAGAAGAGTTAGCATCCTTACCAGGCAAAGAATATATCCAACATATATGTTTTCCAGTAATTTACATGGCTTTCAACAAAAACAGTGTCCAGAAACTAGTGTGCATATATCTGATAATGTGCATTCAAGAAATTTGGAATTCAAAATCATTGTTTACTGCTTCTGGAATCGAACTCCAAACTTAGCCTAAGGGTACTTCACACATGCATGTGACAGAGTCTAGCAGACCTTTTTGTTTGGTGAAGACGAATTGGCAATATATTTAAAAACACTTAGATGCAGCGCACATTACATCAGGGACGGAGCTACAGCATGCTTTGAGGGGGCAATTGCCCCCCACACCCAATTTTTTTTAATAGTAGTATTAAATAAAAAATTTGCCCCCCCCCCAACATTTTATTTTTTACTATTATCCTAGACCACATGAAGCAAACTGCAGCCAAGCTTCAACCCCACGTGATACCCTGATACGGCTGGCCGGCTGGGCCTAATTTCAATTAAAAGCCCTGTCCAATTGTCCACAAGTGATAAGTCCAAGAATTAAAAAATAGGTTTGGAGGCTTGGAGCATAATCTCCGTCCTCAACCCGTCACTCCCCTATCTTCCTCGGTTTCAGCATTTTGAGCATGTTTGCCAACTTCCTGAATTTGGTGCATTTGGTGCATTGGACTCTATTTCTGATCTAAGTCAGTGGTTGATAACAACTAGAAAATCAGACATCTACCCGCTTGTATACAGAGTCGTAACTCTCATTCTTACACTTCCAGTATCTACAGCTACTACCCTTCGAAACAAGATGGAAGATGAATATCTTACCGATTGATTGTTGGTGTACATTGAGAAGCAAATTGCAAAAAAATTTAGTGTGGACTCTCTTATAGATGATTTCCGTGACATGCAGGAGCGACGTTCTAAATTTTAACTCTCAAGACGTTTAGTTATGTGTTTTTGAATGTTTTAAATGAATACTACTACATTATTTAATGTTTATTGCTTTTGTATTTTTTCATTTCACCTCCCCCCCGCTCATATCCTGGCTCCGTCCCTGCATTACATAGACTTATTAAGTATGAATTTCAAACTCATGGTTGCATTTTTTATGTTGCACAAGTAGCTTGCAGCTAGGGCAAAACTAATGTGGTCATGACTCATAAGTAACAGCATCTTTGAAGATGCATTAATTTCTCAAAGCCACGATTATGTGCTTTCAACTACAATCCACACGGTGCTTCAAAAAAACAGCTAAAATCCACATGGTAATGATGGCTGGTCTAATAAAGAAGCATAAGCATGTATATGTCTATAAAAAAACTAAGCATCTGTTCAGCTGGCATATGCTTGTTACTATGTTTGGCGGATGAGACAGAAGACGGTAAAGTATTTACCTGTTCAGGTGCCAACCTAACAAGCCTCACCAAATGATCACGCCCATTGAGGTGGTACAAAGTTCTGGCTTGATATAGATTAACCTTTGCAGTAACTGTGTCTCTAGCTCTGAATGTTATGTAATATACATAGCCAGAACCATATCCAAAGTTTGCCTTCTCAATAGCGTCAAGTTCCAGATTTGCATCCTGTAAGTGTTAGAAGAAACATTAAAGAAACTATATTGGAAGCTGACAAGATAGAGAAAACACTAAACAATTCACATACATTTTCAGCATTGTACTTGTCAATAGCCATTTTGGTGCATTTTACCAATCTACGAGAGGGCCCTCCCTTCAGGTTAAGAGACACAATTACGCCAGGAATTCCCCCTCTGGGGTTCACTGTGATGTCGCCAAAACCCTAACAAGCAAAACCAAAACTGTTAATTTCCCTAAAGAGTGAAACACAACGTAAACGGTTAAGGTGAAGATGCCATTACATCTGTTTCCATTATAATTTTGTTGTACTTCTTCACTTGCTTCCATTGTTTTATACTTTTATAGTCACTAGGGCTTCCGGCACAGGCATCATCACTATCATGGGTGGCGGTACTGTCATCAGATGTTACGTCATCATCGATCTCCATTCTTACATCGCTGCTATCACTGGACACCTCACCTTGTTCGTCATAGTCGTCGCCCATAGAGCTTTCATCCGCACTCATATCCTCTTCTTCCACTCTCCCAATGGCGCTGTTGCTGCTTCCATCGCTCAATTTGTCCTCCCCGGATTCTGGATTTAACATCTCCCCTACTCTGCTGTCCCTGCTTCCATCACTCAGTTTTTCCTCCACAGATTCTAGATCGGGCACATGGCTTACGGTGACGTTGCTGCTTCCATCGCTGAGTTTTTCCTCCCCATATTTGGGACTATCTTCAGCGGGTTTCTGATCCCCACAATGTAAGGGAAAGGTCTTAGGGATAGGTGGGACGTTCGTCTTGAACCTTTTCAATGGAGATTCACAGCAGTCCGGGGTTGGATCGTCGCCATGCTTCTCCATGCGAACTGATTTTTAACCGACTCTAAGGAATTTGAAAAGAAATTGATGTAAATGGGACTAAAATATTAAAAAAGTTCCACAACAGGAGTTATCTATAATTTCTTACCTAAATAGGCCTAATTTAATTTGTGTTCCTATTATACCCTTGCTGAACCGCGTTTTGAAGTCTGCATACACCCCTAACATTAGAGTCTCGATGCAGACTTTTCATTTTTCTCTCCTCACCTCTTTCCTCTACCCTCTCCATCTTCCTCCCATAGATCTAAATTCAAACCTCTCTTCTCCTCTTCCCTCTTCTCTTCTTCAACAAAAACTTTAATTTTATTCTGTTGGTGTAGATATCCCCCCATCTCTGGCGATTTTAGAGGTATGGTTGAACGGCGGTGAACGGCGGCGAATGAGCTTTGAACGGCGGTGAACGGCGGCGAATGAGCTTCGAACGGCGGTGAGTGGCGGCAGCGAGTGGCGGCAGCGAGTGGCGGCGACCACTAGTGAACCGTCACGAGGTATGAATGATGAATTTTCTCTTCCTTCTCCTCCTTCTGCTCCTTCCTTTTCTTCACCTTGTTCTTTTGATCTCTCTTCTTTTAATTCAATCGAAGTTTTTTATTTTATGGAGTGAAGTTTTTATTAGAAGTTAGAACCAATTGAATGAATTGATTAATTCAATCTTGCTTGATTTATCTTTACAAATCTGTTTTCATTGATTTTTTGTTTTCTCTTTCAATTTTCTTTTAGCTTTTGTGCCTTAACATTTAATGTACTCCGCATATTTGACATTTCATAATTTAATTTTTTATATTTGGTTTCACTCAATATGTTAATACCTTTTCAGATTATTTTTTGTTTGAATCTGAAGAGGCTATAATTGCTATTATAAAGTAATTTTAATGGTATTAAGATTAAAATATTACTTATTTGCAAATCTATTATCTGTGATCTGTTTAGTACCGAACCGGACCGTCGACCGGGACCGGTAACAGTCCATGGGACCCGAACCGGGGTAGGGGGCAGACTACGGGATAGGGAAAAGGGGGCCCGGCCCAGCAGGTCCGGTTATCCGAGATCATCTGAGATTAATTTTTCAAAAAAGTAGTAGTATAAAATATGGCATTAACTGATACAAAAAAATGGCATTAGAAGTGATATTGATATATTTTAATGCCATAAAATGGCATTATTTGCCAATCCATATATAAAGAAACTATATAATGCCATATAAATGGAACTAATTGCCAACTGCCAAGTAATCAAGGTAATGCGGAATAAAAAATCAGATCATGTCATTTATGAAATTATTTGATTTAAAAAGTGTTATTTATCTTACAAAATAAATTACTCAAAATTAATAGAAAAATATTAAAAACTAAAAATTAGTGATAACCGCCGTTGAAGCCTTGCAATCTCTCATACCCAAGATTTCACGATCTGAAATGTATTTTTTTTAATTCAAAAAATAGAGAATAAACAAAATAAATGATGAGAAGAAACAAGAGAATCCGTGGAGTAACAACAGAGGACACTTAAGACTTAGTCTCTATTTTAATATGAAAATGCCTGACATTTATATGGTCAAATGAAAATTCATACTCTTTTCAGATTTGAGATGGACTATGGTGGAACGGTGAGATCAAAGGTGGCTCCGGCGCAATGGAGGTGACAGAAATAGTGGTGGCATCTTGTTGTGTCAACGCCGGCCGCGGCTGCAGCGGCGATTGATGGTTGTGGCGTTTGACGGAGGCGGAGATTGACGGCGGCGGCAACTTGTCTAGGCGGTGGTTGGTGTCGGCGTCCCCTGGAGTCTATCTCCTGGCGTTGGTTGTGTGAGAGGAGAGCGGATCAGTGGATTACAGCTTGCATTAAATTATTATTCTACGGAGTATTTTTTAGAAATCAATTAGGGTGTACGTTCATTAAGGGTATATATGTCCACACATGTATTTTTACTCCTATGTTACTCTACGGAACTTTGGAGTCCTACTTTTGCACTTTTATTATCTTTTAGTCCTAGATAGGGAATTTACTCGAATTTGAATGGTTTTAAATCATTATTATAGATTGATGAATAGATGAATTTTTATAGATTTTATGATTTTTTATGGAATTACACGGAGTATTGAATTAATGATATTCTGTGGAATTTTATGGAATCACAGAATTCTATGGACTTGAATAGACTTTTATAGAATTGTATGGAATTTATGATATTATATGTGGAATTTTATGGAATTCTATATCACATAATTCTATATCATATCATAGAATTATAATCAAATTTTATTCGATGATTAAATTTTTATTTTTTTTAACACTCCGCACTGTTCAAGTCTAAATTGTTTTATATTTGATCCTTTTTATTGTATTGTTACTTTGATTTCTTATTGTTGGTAGAAAATAACCCGGGTAGAGAAACTAGCAGCATTTCAGTATAGTGAAAAGAACTTCCAGAATACATGGGGGGTGATGGCCTATTTATAGGCATCCATCACAAGTCCAAAGCCTAACCTACGTGGGCTTGGCCCAAATACATAATACATGTCCAAGCTAATGGGCGAACTGGCCTGATAAATAAGTAAATGAGCAATGGGCTATTTCCGCTCGTGAGACTGTGTCTTGGGCCTAGTTGGGCCAAAGCTCGGGGATAACGGGCCGATGGCACTGGGCCTGGTCCATTATCCCAACACGAGTCCCCCACTCCCTAAGGATGTGTTTACTTGGACTGTAATTTGCTGGTCTGGTAAGGTCTAGTTTCTTTGTATTTTTATAACTATCCAAGTCTAGTCTGGTCTGAACTGGTCTAGTCTGGTCTGGACTGGTCTGGTCTGGGGCAAATTACAGTCCAAGTAAAAACATCCTTAGTCGAGTAGTAGACTCGGCTAAAAGGGAGTAGTTGAGCTGCTTTGTAATCGGCCCGGTTGCCAGGCTAGCTAGCTACATAGATGCTTGTTGATAACGACGATTTGTGGTGCGCCCGGAAAGGTCAGTCAGGTAATTGTCCGCCATGGTCTCACTGTTTGCGCAAGGATGAGACCCTCCTTGTCCTGGTAGCATCCTGGGGTCCCGGTTATCTGGCCAGCTGCCCGGGGTCTTCTTTGCTCCAACCGGGAAGACCTCTTCCTTTGTTCATGATGAGGGGATGCCTCGTTAAAACCTTACTAGGAAAAAACCCGGTGGGAAAAAATCCTAGTGAAGGAAAAAGAGTACACTGGTACCTCAAAATAAAATAGAGGAAGGTCAGTCTCGTCGGTTCTTGATTGAGCGTCTGCTTTACTGATAAGCCGAGATATGTTCCGGGAAGGCCAATCGCTTGTCTGCTTTCCAGTGGTGGCGGTCGAGCCAATGCATGCTCAGGAGTGACCACCCGCATAACTATTTGTCGATGATGCCGAGCTAAGGTATGCCCATGAGAGGCTGGTCGCAAAGCTGCCTGTTGATGATGTCGATCCGAGGTATGCTCGGGAGAGGGTAGTTTTATAACTATGCACATTGATCCCCGCTGCTGGTGAGAGGACATGGTTTCCTTCGCCTAGGTAACAGTTTTAGGTCTTGTTCATCCGATTAGCCTCCCATGGTCTCGTTCTTCTGATCAGCAGCCTGGGGTCTTGTTTGTCCGATTAGCTGCAGCCCAGGGTCTTGTTCTGGTGGAGAGATCTCTTCTTTAAATGCACCCAAAATAGAGCTAAAGGGTAAGCTCTTAGGCCATTGTGTGCAGCTGCAACGGTCGCCATCCGTCGAGGGGATAACAAAGACCGGCCTTCACTTGTGAGCAGTGTTCGTCTGACGTTCTCGAGATAGATGCAGTGAGTAGTCTGCCATGATAAGTAGTCCCTGTTGATTGCTATTATTACCTGTTAGAGACATGGCGGGTAAAAGAGGTGCTCTCGCTGCTTTAGCTGCAGTGCAAGATACTAAATTTTGGCCTTCAAAGTCAGATGAAGGTCTGTCTCAGGCAAGGAAGAAGCCTGGAGCTTCTCCGCTTGGTGTTGGGGAAAAGATAGGAGCTTCCCTGCTTTGCGAAGAGCGAATTTCCAAGAAGAGCAAATGTATAAACTGCTCCTTAGCCCGGGTAAGGGGAGATAACCCGACCGGAAGAATCCTTGCTTACTCTGTTTGTTTCCTCGCAGGTATGGCTGGTTGGAGAAGCGCATTTGCTGCCTTGGATGCGACGAAAGATGCTAAGTCTCGACCTTTGACATCCGATGCAAGTCCATCTAATGTCGGGGAGAAGCACACAACTTTTTCACATGATGTCGGGGAGAAGCACGCAGCTTCCCTGCATAATGTCAGGGAGATGCTTAGAGCTTCAATGCCTGATACCAGGGAGAGGCACGCACCTTCCCTGCCTGATGCTGGGGGATGCTAAGAGTTTCTCTGCCTGATGTCCGGAGAGATGCCCAGCTTCTTCGACTGATGCTGGGTAGAAGAATGCACCTTCCCTGCATCATGTCGGTAGATGCTAATAGCTTCTTTGCCTGATGCTGGGGAGAAGCACTCACCTTCCCAGGCTTGCGATGAAGAAATAGTTGTCATCCCTGTGGACGGCGGACTGACCCGATTATAGAATCAAAATGATGACATTTAGTCTGGTCGTGATGAATTCATAGCAGTGGTCATCATCCAAGTGAAGGGGAATGCAACCGGTCTTGAAATGAGAATGGTGACACTGAGTCGATCCTGACGAGGGCTGCAATTCGTAGGCCGACTGTGAAATCAAAGCAGCGGTCATCATCCAAGTGAAGGAGGATCTGACCGGTCTTGAGACAGGAATGATGGTGTTGAGCCGGTGCTGACGTAGACGACGACTCATTGGCCAATCATGAATCCGAAGCAGTGGTCATCATCGTCATCCCGCCAAGGTCGGATCAAGAGAGCTGTGCTTGGATGGCTCCCTGATGCAGGTCAAGAAAACGATGCAGGGTAAGAGAGTGATGTTAGATCCTTCCCGGTGATTTCAGAGTTTTGCAAGCTTTAGGCTCGAGGCCCAACCTTCGGAGCACGTCCCAACGTCGATGATGTAGTAGATGAGGTAATTATCATGTTCAAGGCCTCCCTAAACGTTTTCAGAGCTTGTCACTTCTTAGGTCGAGGATCGGCATCCGGAGTATGTCCACGCTTAGTTGCGCAGAATGCTAACCCCCGACCTTCAATATTGGATGCAGGCCCGGTCAATGTTTGAGAGAAACGCAGGGCTTCTCCGTCCAGTGTTGTAAGAAATGGCGCAGCTTCCCCGCCTCGTGAAAATAGACTTGCCAGGAAGAGAAAGGGTATGAATTGCTTCTCAGGTCGGGTTAGGGAAGGCAATCCTACCCGTACAGCTCCAGCTTACTTCGCTTGTTCTCTTGCAGGTACAGTCGGTTGGGAGAATCACGCAGCTTCCCTTCCTGATGCCGGGGAGAAGCATGCAGCTTCCCTGCTTCACAAAGTACCACCTTGTTCGTTTCTTTGCAGATGTGCCAGGTTGGAGAAGCGAATTTTGTTGCCTTGGCTACAAAGAGAGATGCTAAACCATTTTCCATGTCATCTGATCTTTTTTTCCCTGCAGGGACTGACGGATCCGACCGCATTGCTCCGTGCTATGAAAGATCAGCATACGGAGCTCCAACGTTAAGTTGATTAAGCCCATCTTCAGGCTACCCAGGCTCGGCAGCATGCAAATGGAGCGGAGGCAGCCTTGAGGATACTTGTCGCATGCAATGAAGAGGATATAAGAGCCATGATCGATCTCTAATCAAAGTGTGACCAGCTGAAGTTGAGTATAACCAAGTAGAGGCGTCGTTTGCAGATGCAGCGCAACAAGCAATTGTAGTGCTCAAAGCTTCTAAGGAGTTCTCCGAGCTTCTTGCTTCCCGGACTAAGGATGTGGGGCACCAAGCATCCCAGAAATTCAAGAAGCCCCTTTCTTCCCGGACGTATGCTCTCCGTGCAGAGCAAGATCATGATTGGCTTCAGACCAAAGAGGGTTGCAATTGGCACAAAAAGATGTCTTGTTCTCTTTTAGTTGTGGCTGGCATGATACGCAGACTAGCCATGATGAGGCGGAGAAGATGGGCAATGTTGATCTCGGACTTATTCTCCGTGATTGATTTATCGCTTGAGCTTGTATGTATGCACCGTTCGTACATTCAAATTTCTTTAGTCGTTTTTCATTCAAGAATACTTGGACAACTTATCGGGGATCTGGCTCCCCACCTAGGCCGCAAGGGGCGGAAAGTTGACAAGGTCAACCTTGACCGCGCCCTGCTAGGTAAGGCGGGGCTGACCCGCACACTGTCGGTCTTGGACCAACGAGTTGTGCAAGCAGTTTGGCCAGTGATTGGACAACGGATGTACGAGAGGGGCTCGGGGCGCGACCTCTCGCATACCTTCGAACCGAAGGTTGGTCTTACACCACCTTGACTTGTACAGCTAGTTTCGTACTTAGGAAAATTTTTGGTTGTTCCGTTTCTGAAAGTCGAACTGAAGTCGGCCAAACGTAAGGGCAAGGCCCTGCATGATCAGACCAGAACGGACCCACACCGTTGATCCTGTCAAGCGCGTATGCGGGCTGCTAAGCCTACCAACGTCAGACAACGGATGTACGAAAGGGGCTCAGAGCACGACCTTTCGCATTCCTTCGGTCCGAAGACCGATCATATAGTTGTCGCATTGTTGATTGGATCATACGTGCATGCGAGCTGTTTAGACAGCAATGCTAGACTGCGGATGTACGAGAGGGGCTTGGGGCGCGGCCTCTCGCATACCTTTTCGACCCGGAAGCCGGTCCTACAATTGCCCTGACCGAGCAACTAACCCCGGACTTAGAAAGTAGTATGATCATTTCCTTGCTCGAGAGCCGAGCCGTGGTCGACTAAACACCGAGAGCGGGGCATGATATACATATACTTTTTTTTCTTTTCTCTTTTTTTCTTTTTCTCCCTCTTTTTTCTTCTCTCTCTCTCTCTCTCTCTCTCTCTCTCTCTCTCTCTCTCTCTCTCTTCTTTTTTTTTTCTTTTTTTTTGAGCCGCCACCCGTTTAATCCAAGTGAGGTCGGACCTCATTAAATTCCAGAATGGAAAACGATTTTTTTAAGGCATCAAAGAATCTGAGAACTTGAGGAGTTGCTCCAGTTCTTCTACATTTGATCTACAATTTGTGATGATTGATTCATAGAATCTGAGAGAGCTAATCTCCAATCCACACTTCATTAACGGGCTTGCAGTTCTGCGCTCTTAGGATTAGAGAGGGTTCCCGGCGC